CTTTTGTATTTTTTCTATCTAGTTCAGTAACTTTGTTTAATTACATAGTTAAGTTCGAAGAAAGAAACAACTTAAAAACTTAGTAAATCTATGATTATAAGCAAAGATTCTCGAACTGATGCGTATTATAACTTATTGCGGAGGAGCCTCCAATTTATCATGTAACGTATTACAATTTCAAATTACCTAAAACTGAATTAAATGATAATTTAGACTTAGAAGTTAAAAAAATGCCAATATGTATCCAATTTATGATATTTGTGAACAAGATTAATACACATAGTTTTCTTTTCTAATACAAATATATTTTGATATACAAACAATAATACAATTTACAATAAAGGTTATTACAAATAATGATCTATGTACAAAAGATTTACAAACATTATTGAGTCTTCTTTCTGGTCTGGAATTTCCTTGATATCTTATCAAAGGTTCACGATGAATGAATTAATTTCGAGTTGATGTAGATACAATTCACTTAATAAGGAACTAGCTAGCTCTATATTGTTCTTTCTTCACCGGTCACACATCGAGATTTCCCACTGATGACATTAGGTAATGTTTTCGTGAAAATATTAATGTCCAATGTGAATCCACTGCAGTTAAATGGTTTATAATGCTCGAAATTTATAAACGTTCTTGGTCAAATATTTGAAGTTCCCGATTACTAAGCGTTAATCACAGCTACAGTTCCAAGGTTTATAGTGTACAAACTGTAGCAAACCAATAATACATACTGTCTTTTAGGGCATCGCGTTGATTATATTTATAGGCGTGAGGAGAGTTTCTCGATATTTCAGCTTAAGCAACAATACTGACGACACACTGGTGTTTACGTACACACATGTATTGTTGATTCTTACACTCGAGAATCTTCTACAACTTTAGTTAATAGATGAGAATTTCGCAATACAGATTTAACAGTATAAGTTATGTACATTTCTAAATATAAATTTAACTTAAACAAACATTGATATTAAAATAGATATATATATATAATAGTAAATAAACTATTTGGTGTTATTTCTAAGTTTACCACAAACAACATTTTTGTTGGCAACTGTGGCACATAAATATTTAAATAGACGTACTACTTGTACTGTACCGATGCAGTGTGGGCTTGAGTACACTAATCAGCGTGAGTTAAGCATAGTAGTTAACCATTAAAACCCAGTGCATATATATATATATAAAGTTAGGTAATTTATCAGTGTAATAAGTGCATAATATGTGTCTGTGAAAAGGTGTATTCTGAGAATTATATGAGCAATATACTGTTTATGCTGGGAACAAGACAATATTTTTTTCTTTACTCTGAAAACTGAAGAATAAATCGTTTGTCGTTGTTACTAAGCAACGAGCCACTTGTCTCGGAAGCTGAGCAAGCAGCAAACTGTTTGTCTTAGGCGTGAACAGTAAATTGTTTGACCTGTATTTGAACACAAATCATTTAACGTGAAGCTGAACAGTAAAGAATTTGCTCTAATAGTGATAAATAAACCACTTATCCTGTGAGCTGAAAAGCACAGCTTTCGCCTTAGATTTTAACAATAAACTTACAATAAGTCATACATTTTCGGTCTTGCTGGAAGCTAATTAAAAGGTTATTTGTGTTGAAAGTTGCCTAAAAAATAATCCAGCTATCCCTGAGACAGAGCGATATATTGTTTGCTTTGGTAATTGAGCAGCAAGTCAATTATCTTAGAGGCTAGCAAGGCCCCACCCCCTTCAACCTAGGAATTAAGCAGTAAATAACTCATCCTAGAAAATAGGAAATTCTTTGTTTGCCAAGGAAATAGAGTAATAAATCACATTTCCTATAGCAGCTGTACAATAAGTTGTTTGACCTGGGAACAGAGCAATGAGTCAATTATTCTGTAGACTGAGCAGTTTGTTGTTTTCATCCTGGGAATTGAACAGATAAGTCATTTTATCTTAGATACTAAACAATGGCATCATGGTATTTTCTGGTTTATCTTGAGAATTGCTATAAGCAATAAGTCAGCTAATCTAGAGAATATATAATTTGTTGTTTGTCTTGGGAATTGAGAGATAAATTAGCTATTCCAAGGAATATATAATTTGTTGTTTGTCCTTGGAAATTAGCGATAATTAGCTATTTTAGACGAATAGACGATTAAAATATTTTAAGTAACTAATTAATAGACTCTCGTTGTGTGTGCATTATGGTCAGAATGAGCTTTATAACAATAGTTGAATGAGCTAGATAACATGCAATGAAAACTATAGCTTATCTTACATCTATCAAAAGAAATCAACATGATACGTTTGTTTTTTCTCCTTACATTTCTTTAATTAGTCTTTTTTGAATTTTGAATAAAAGTTTGTTAGTTTGTGAAGCACAAAGCTGTAGAATGGGCTATCTGTGCTCTGCCCACCACGCGTATTGAATCCCGGTTTCTAGTGTTGTACGTTCGCTGTGCCATTGGGGAGTTTGAATAAAAGACGTGTGAAAATGGCACATCAGTACTAAGTAAGAGAAATGTGAGAGAAGACCACGTATAGTCAAACATAATTTTTTGATCTTCATTGTTTCACAACCTTAGACATTTTACATGATTACAATTCACATAACTTTTCTAATAAAAATCCAAACATTTATCACCTTTAAAGTTAATATCCGTTTGGTAAAATGTACGATACATACATTTTATTTCAGGTATATATGCTTTCATTTTTTATTTTTTAAGCACAAGTTTGAACCTAATATTTGCCAGTCTATACGATCTGGCTGTTCTTCTCTGCATGTGATAGAAAAAGGTATTCATTGCTGTTTGTCACTTGGCTATTGAGACTAAGACAGCTAACACATATAGTTAGTGGCAAATTATTGAGGATGAACTACGACCCGAGAGTGCCCATCTTGATGCAAAGGATAATCCTTTGCTTGGTTACCCTTGGAAGACTGTAAGACCATTAAATTGCCATAAGTGTACTGACGTTGAATTTGGGGTGATGGAGGTTTTGAACACTGTGAATGGCCTAGAACGTGCTGGAAAGCGGGAAAAACACATTCTTGGAATAATAGTTGCTGCCACTATATTGAGAATTCAGGTCAGATTTGAATATAGGACAGATATCTACAAAATGCGTTATGGAATGCAGTTGAGTCTTTTAGCGCAACAGAAAATTAAGCAAGAGGGAACAAAAAAATGAAGGTAAAAGATCAGTGGGTTTTTCCATTCACGTGGTCGCATCTCACTCAATTTAAAAAGCGTGAAACTGTGGATATCTAGAAGAAATGTTCCCACTAAGAAATATTTGTTGTCTACCAACAAGAAAGTGAGTGTGATAGAACAGACATAAGTGATAATGCATGGACGTCTTGGGAGTAGGTGTTGTAAGAGTTAAATATGTGGGAATTATGAACACACAGTAAAATGAATTACACAAACTGCCATATTTGACGTAAAGCACTTCAATAAACACAGACTTGTTACAGTTATTGGGGTTTGAAAGTTTCATATCAGCAACAAATGCAAGGTTTAGATTTTAACAATCCTTCAGCTTTAGGTCAAAAAGACTATTACAACCTCACTGGAATAATCGGAGTAGTTTCATCAAGTTGCTACAAATTTGATAGTCATGTGTATACTTCCAAGAACCATAAATATTGCTTAGAAATGCTAAAATCAGGCATTCTGTGAAGACGCTATGCAGCATGCCCCAGGTAGGCGTTTCCACTTCAGTCGCTTGAACAATCAGAAGCGCCAGAAGGGCTTTTACGGATAGAATTGTGCTCTACCTTACTAGCCGTAAAAGTAGTGACGCCTCCATGTGCAAAAGTATGCGGTTATCTAGCTGAGAACAGCTTAAAGAATGGCTTCAAATGGGGATTTTGGAGTCTGCGAATAGAAGTATTAAGAAACTAAGATCTTGGATAAAGCAGTGCTTAATTCCCAAGTCTCGTTCACATTACGTAAGATTTAAATCTGCATTGCGCAATGTATTCTGGTCAACGCTGACCAACACATATGTGAAAGAAGAAAGAATTACATAGAAAATGTTGTTAGTTCCTGCCCAGCCAGATAAGCTGCAGAAGAAGGTTCTGCGAGAGAAGCTAGCCTCACCACATATTGTTTGACTACATACAGCGTCTACTACATTATCTGACTTCTCCATACTTTTAAAGAATTATCTTTGTGTTTTAACTTGTCATTAATCAGCTCAAACAAGTAAAGCCTTATACTTGGTAAAACTTCTCAGACACTTGCAGGTAGGTCCGTCTTTTAACTTGTCGTTAATCAGCTCAAACAAGCAAAGCCTTACACTTGTAGGTAGGTCCTTGTTTTAACATGTTATTAATCAGCTCAAACAATCAAAGCCTTATACTTGGTAACACCTCTTAGACACTTGTAGGTAGGTCTGTGTTTTAATTTCAGCTCAAAAAATCAAAGCCTTACACTTGGTAACACCTCTTAGACACTTGTAGGTAGGTCTGTGTTTTAACTTCAGCTCAAACAAGCAAAGACTTATACTTGGTAAAACTTTTCAGACACTTGTATGTAGGTCAGTGTTTTAACTTGCCATTAATCAGCTCAAACAAGCGAAGCCTCATGCTCGGCAGTACTTCTCAGACACTTGTATGTAGGTCAGTGTTTTAACTTGCCATTAATCAGCTCAAACAAGCGAAGCCTCATGCTCGGCAGTACTTCTCAGACACTTGTATGTAGGTCAGTGTTTTAACTTGCCATTAATCAGCTCAAACAAGCGAAGCCTCATGCTCGGCAGTACTTCTCAGACACTTGTATGTAGGTCAGTGTTTTAACTTGTCATTCATAGGCTAAAATAAGCCAAGCCTTATGATTAGTAACACCTCTCAGACACTTGCAAGTAGGTTCGTATTTTAACTTGTCATTCATGAACTCCAACCAGCGAAGCCTTATGCTTGGTAACACAGACACTTGCACAGGCATAACATTAACCCGTGCTTCTTATCAAACCCCCAATCATGGCGTGTGGTATCAAAGGCCTATGCCCTATGGATTATTTGGTTACCAAATGTGTGACTGTTGTTGCCAAATATCTCTCACATGGAAAAACAATGAGAAGAAATTCCCAAGTCGCATGTTTTATGGCACCTAGACTTCCACTATCACCAGGACACATTCCAGACCCTTCAACAGCATGTACTTGATGAATCCATCCAGGATTGGACTGTAGATGTTGATGGGTAAATGAGAATGCCTTCCTACATTCATTCGAATACTAAGATTAGATGGAGCTAATATTTGTCTAGAATATATATATATATATATATATATA